TCGGTTCGAGAATAAAAACTTTTTTGATGAATTTTTTTAATATCTCGGGTAAATATCGACGATTTTTAAATGTTATACCTTGAAGGGGTTACATCACGTTATGTTAAAAATCGATGGGTTAAAAAAGTGTGACCAAAAAACGAATAGTTGTAAAGTAAACCTTTTTTGATGATTTTTTGGAATATCTCGGATAAATAATGTCCGATTTGGGAATTTTATACCATTTTGGATTCGTAAGGATCAGTACTATCGATTGGCATCAAAAATCTGAAAATCTAAATTTTGGTCCAAATCAACCAAAATGGCAAGGGGTTACATCACGTTTTTTTCAAAATCGGGGTCGGTTCGAGAATAAAAACGTTTTTGATGAATTTTTTTGAATATCTCGGGTAAATATCGACCGATTTTTCAATGTTATACCTTTTTGAATTCGTAGGGATCCCTACTATCAATTGGCATTCAAACAAATTAAAAATCAATGAGTCAAAAAAAGTTGTTGACCAAAAAACGATTCGTTTGTTAAGTCAACCATATTTGATGATTTTTTGGAATATCTCGGCCAAATATATGTCCGATTTCGGATTTTTTGATACCATTTTGGATTCGTAAGGATCAGTACTATCGATTGGCATCAAAAATCTGAAAATCTAAATTTTGGTCCAAATCAACCAAAATGGCAAGGGGTTACATCACGTTTTTTTCAAAATCGGGGTCGGTTCGAGAATAAAAACTTTTTTGATGAATTTTTTTGAATATCTCGGGTAAATATCGACCGATTTTTAAATGTTATACCTTTTTGACCATTTTGGATTCGTAGGGATCCGTACTATCAATTGGCATCAAAAATCTGAAAATCTAAATTTTGGTCAAATCAACCAAAATGGCAAGGGGTTACATCACGTTTTTTTCAAAATCGGGGTCGGTTCGAGAATAAAAACTTTTTTGATGATTTTTTTGAATATCTCGGGTAAATATCGACCGATTTTTGAATGTTATACCTTTTTGAATTCGTAGGGATCCCTACTATCAATTGGCATTCAACTAATTAAAAATCGATGGTAAAAAAGTTTTTGACCATTAAACCTTTTTGATGATTTTTTTGAATATCTCGGATAATATGTCCGATTGGAATTTTATACCATTTTGGATTCGTAAGATCAGTACTATCGATTGGCATCAAAAATCTGAAAATCTAAATTTTGGTCCAAATCAACCAAAATGGCAAGGGGTTACATCACGTTTTTTTCAAAATCGGGGTCGGTTCGAGAATAAAAACTTTTTTGATGAATTTTTTTGATATATCTCGGGTAAATATCGTCGGATTTTTGAATGTTATTCATTTTTGAATTCGTACGGATCCCTACTATCAATAGGCATTCAAACAAATTAAAAATCGATGAGTCAAAAAAAGTTGTCGACCAAAAAACGATTCGTTTGTTATGTCAACCATATTTGATGATTTTTTGGAATATCTCGGCCAAATAATGTCCGATTTGGGATTTTTATACCATTTTGGACTCGTAAGGATCAGTACTATCGATTGGCATCAAAAATCTGAAAATCTAAATTTTGGTCCAAATCAACCAAAATGGCAAGGGGTTACATCACGTTTTTTTCAAAATCGGGGTCGGTTCGAGAATAAAAACGTTTTTGATGAATTTTTTTGAATATCTCGGGTAAATATCGACCGATTTTTCAATGTTATACCTTTTTGAATTCGTAGGGATCCCTACTATCAATTGGCATTCAAATAAATTAAAAATCGATGAGTTAAAAAAAGTTGTTGACCAAAAAACGATTCGTTTGTTAAGTCAACCATTTTTGATGATTTTTTGGAATATCTCGGCTAAATAATGTCCGATTTGGGAATTTTATACCATTTTGGATTCGTAAGGATCAGTACTATCGATTGGCATCAAAAATCTGAAAATCTAAATTTTGGTCCAAATCAACCAAAATGGCAAGGGGTTACATCACGTTTTTTTCAAAATTGGGGTCGGTTCGAGAAAAAAACTTTTTTGATGAATTTTTTTGAATATCTCGGGTAAATATAATCCGATTTTTAAATGTTATATCTTTTTGAATTCGTAGGGACCCTTTTGCATTCAAACAAATTAAAAATCGATGAGTTAAAAAAAGTTGTTACCAAAAAACGAATCGTTTGTTAAGTCAACCATTTTTGATGATTTTTTGGAATATGTCGGCCAAATAATGTCCGATTTGGGAATTTTATACCATTTTGGACTCGTAAGGATCAGTACTATCGATTGGCATCAAAAATCTGAAAATCTAAATTTTGGTCCAAATCAACCAAAATGGCAAGGGGTTACATCACGTTTTTTTCAAAATCGGGGTCGGTTCGAGAATAAAAACGTTATTGATGAATTTTTTTGAATATCTCGGGTAAATATCGACCGATTTTTAAATGTTATACCTTTTTGAATTCGTAGGGATCCCTACTATCAATTGGCATTCAAACAAATTAAAAATCGATGAGTTAAAAAAAGTTGTTGACCAAAAAACGATTCGTTTGTTAAGTCAACCATTTTTGATGATTTTTTGGAATATCTCGGCCAAATAATGTCCGATTTGGGAATTTTATACCATTTTGGACTCGTAAGGATCAGTACTATTCGATTGGCATCAAAAATCTGAAAATCTAAATTTTGGTCCAAATCAACCAAAATGGCAAGGGGTTACATCACGTTTTTTTCAAAATTGGGGTCGGTTCGAGAATAAAAACTTTTTTGATGAATTTTTTTGAATATCTCGGGTAAATATCGACCGATTTTTAAATGTTATACCTTTTTGAATTCGTAGGGATCCCTACTATCAATTGGCATTCAAACAAATTAAAAATCGATGAGTTAAAAAAAGTTGTTGACCAAAAAACGAATCGTTTGTTAAGTCAACCTTTTTTGATGATTTTTTGGAATATCTCGGCCAAATAATGTCCGATTTGGGAATTTTATACCATTTTGGACTCGTAAGGATCAGTACTATCGATTGGCATCAAAAATCTGAAAATCTAAATTTTGGTCCAAATCAACCAAAATGGCAAGGGGTTACATCACGTTTTTTTCAAAATTGGGGTCGGTTCGAGAATAAAAACTTTTTTGATGAATTTTTTTGAATATCTCGGGTAAATATCGACCGATTTTTAAATGTTATACCTTTTTAAATTCGAACGGATCCCTACTATCAATTGGCATTCAAACAAATTAAAAATCGATAAGTTAAAAAAAAGTTGTTGACCAAAAAACGAATCGTTTGTTAAGTCAACCTTTTTTGATGATTTTTTGGAATATCTCGGCCAAATAATGTCCGATTTGGGAATTTTATACCATTTTGGACTCGTAAGGATCAGTACTATCGATTGGCATCAAAAATCTGAAAATCTAAATTTTGGTCCAAATCAACCAAAATGGCAAGGGGTTACATCACTTTTTTTCAAAATTGGGGTCGGTTCGAGAATAAACTTTTTTGATGAATTTTTTATAATATCTCGGGTAAATATCGACCGATTTTTAAATGTTATACCTTTTTAAATTCGAACGGATCCCTACTATCAATTGTCATTCAAACAAATTAAAAATCGATGAGTTAAAAAAAGTTGTTGACCAAAAAACGATTCGTTTGTTAAGTCAACCTTTTTTGATGATTTTTTGGAATATCTCGGCCAAATAATGTCCGATTTGGGAATTTTATACCATTTTGGACTCGTAAGGATCAGTACTATCGATTGGCATCAAAAATCTGAAAATCTAAATTTTGGTCCAAATCAACCAAAATGGCAAGGGGTTACATCACGTTTTTTTCAAAATCGGGGTCGGTTCGAGAATAAAAACGTTTTTGATGAATTTTTTTGAATATCTCGGGTAAAAATCGTCCGATTTTTAAATGTTATACCTTTCTGAATTCGTAGGGATCCCTACTATCAATTGTCATTCAAACAAATTAAAAATCGATGAGTTAAAAAAAGTTGTTGACCAAAAAACGAATAGTTTGTAAAGTAAACCTTTTTTGATGATTTTTTGGAATATCTCGGATAAATAATGTCCGATTTGGGTATTTTATACCATTTTGGATTCGTAAGGATCAGTACTATCGATCGGCATCAAAAATCTGAAAATCTAAATTTTGGTCCAAATCAACCAAAATGCAAGGGGTTACATCACGTTTTTTTCAAAATCGGGGTCGGTTCGAGAATAAAACCTTTTTTGATGAATTTTTTTTAATATCTCGAGTAAATATTGTCCGATTTTTTAATGTTATACCTTTTTGAATTCGTAGGGATCCCTACTATCAACTGGCATTCAAACAAATTAAAAATCAATGAGTTAAAAAAGTTGTTGACCAAAAAACATTTCGTTTGTTAAGTCAACCATTTTTTATGAATTTTTGGAATATTTCGGCCAAATAATGTCCGATTTGGGAATTTTATACCATTTTGGACTCGTGAGGATCAGTACTATCGATTGGCTATCATTTGAGTCTAATTAGGGGGCTTACATCATAGTTTTGACAAAACAATAACTTTTGTTGATTTTTTTGGAATATCTCGCCCAAATAAAGTCCGATATTAAATTATATACTATTTTCGACTCGTACGGAGCAGTACTATCGATAAAATAAATTAATAAATAATTTTTATATATATTTTGTTGAACATGAATTTTCTTCCGATTGGTTTGATCGTTGATCACTAGTCAATTCGGTCGTCAGTCAACTGTTCAGCAAATTATGACGTACATATTAATACATATAGATAAAGTTAAATGAAATTAATAATACATATTGTTATCTGCCTATAATGGACTTGTCTGTGCTTTGTAGATAACTAGACAGAAAACTTAACCCTAAAAAGGAAAATTGAATTAAAAATCTTTTAAAATTACACAAGCTTACATTAAAGCCACGTTTAAATACATTTCAGAGAGAAGCAAGCGTTAGGCATTCCCTATGTGTGTTCAGAGTTAGATTGGGATTATTTAACTTACCTTCGCCTTCTTCTCCCGTCTTGGCTTCGCTCCATTTCGACAACTATTAAAAAACAAGAAGCAGAATAGGATTATATGTTAGTGCAGATAAGCATAGGTTAAAAAGTAATGTTAAAAATATTATTAGGCAAGCATGAAAGGGATTAACTTCGGCACGCGGAAAATAATGTACCCTAGCCAAGAAGTGTTTTCCGATGTCGACAAGGAATTTCAGATATTTTGGGAAAAGCTCGTAAATGCTGCGTATCGTAAGAATCAAAATCGAATTTTGCCATAGATATATATAAAAGTAGCTCATAAATTAGAAGTAAAGCTAAGCGTAGAAATGCTTTTGATCAAGACATCCTTAAAAATAATTTTTCCATAAAAGAACTACATTTTTGTATAGTTCTTCGACAGCTATATAATATAATGAAGGTCCGGCGCGGCCAGCTCTAGCATACATACAGCCTGCAACAAAAAGACAGGCCTATGCAAACGTTCCCGATAATAGCTGATGATAATTATGTAATATTTGAAGTGCCGGAGACTTCTCATGCCATTCATCACACAACAAGACATAGTACCTGCTAGTCAAGAGCGTTATAATGCCATGCTTTAAATGTAGCTTTAAAAATAATAGCACGGGATTAAACTGATTATTGCACACACACACACACTTGCGTAATGCATTGACATCTGGCCTGGATTTGTGTAAAGCATCTGGTAGACTCCGTCCATCATTGAGCAACTTTAATGGTGGTCGCCCACATCCGGCTGATGCTGCCGCTGGCGTACTTATTAGATGGAGGGAAGCACTGGAGAGCTCGAGTGCGGCAAGCTTGGCCCCCAAGTGTCCTTGATGCAGTGCCGGCAACAACTTGTGATTGTGGCATACGCACCCTCACGGCCTTGGCCCGTGGTACTTGCCTCTCGCTATCCACAGACAAAGACAACGGAGAAGGACAAGTCAAAGCCCGAACTCAAAAAAACCTGTTTCAATGAAAATGCAACTTACATTTCCTATACCCTGTACCTATACAAAATGGGTTTAATAGGGTATAATAGTTGAGTGTAAACGTGAGTACAGGCAGAAGATGGCATCTTCGACCTCATATAGAATATGTATTCTTTATCGAAGAGCTGAATCAATATAGCCATTCGGTCGGTTGAAATTTATGTTTCTACTCTCGCATATTTATAGATTTTGAAGCACGTTTTTTTAAGGCAAGTCTCGGTTAAATACACCAATTTTTGTATATGGATCTATTAAAAGAATACGAATTATGATTTCCTACCTCCTTTCAAAGTTTAAAAACTGACTTTTGTGGGTAGATATATTTAAGCATATTTAAGCCCAGCAACCCATAGGAATCGAGAAATAAGCATCAGAGTTATTCAAGCAAGAGAAGAAGATGAAGAAAGGCAGGATTTGGCACGCAGTTTTAGGCGTGACTGTCTGGTTGTTTTATTAGGATGCATTTATAAAAAGAATTCTAGCGCTCTCTTGTTTCATTTTAATTTACTATTGGCAAAAACTTCATTTGTTTATTGGTTTTTATTTAAGGCCGAGCACTCGGCTTGCAGTTAAAAATGCAGCCAAGCTGGCAGGCAACCACATGTATACATTAAAACACACACACACATATATATATGTATATATATGAGTATACAACACATACATGCATAATGTTGGTCAAATTACGTATTCGCCGCGTTGGCTTCCAATTAATGGCAACTTTGGAGCGGGTAGTTGCAACTTTTGTTGCTGCTGGCATTTTCTTTGCTGCAGCTGCTGTTGTTGCTGTCCTTGAGCGCGTTTTAATTCAGGGCACTGCACTCACTTCGGGATGACCGCAGCGCCGCAAGTCAAAGGCTAACACGACTCTGACGGGTCACCCGAGAAAACTCAACTATGTTTAAATGTCGCCCCTTAGCGTTCGGCTGTGGTTGTATGAGTAAAAACTATGTGTGTATGTAACAAGCAACTGCATCGGAGTATGTACTTATGCGGCGGAGTCTATCCTATCGGACTTTATTGCTTCCAAAATGTATCTTTAGCTGAAAAATATATAATATACTATTTTTTTTTTGGATTAGACAACAGCTTATTCTCAACTTTAAAGAAACATTTGCTTGTTTTTACAAAAATCCTTAAAGCGCTAATCTATCTATTTTTTGAGAATTTTTTATATATTAAAAAACATATTTACAGCGCTTAAAATATGGCTCGACGAATTCGTTGAGAATGTGAATAATTTCGTAAGTATACTGAGAAATTAGCTTAATTACCTCTAAAGAGCTAATGGTCTATATAAAGTTATGAATGATCGACTGTTTCAAAGAAAACTTAACTTAATACACGGAACCATGGATAACCAATATCGTTTAAAGCATGTCCAATATTGTAAAAACATAGCTAAAGTAGACAAACAATTTTTTTTTCATCAGGAATTCTAATTATGGAAATTTTTAGTTGCTTATTTAATCTACTTTTGTTGTACTTTTGTTTGTTTTGCAGCTTTTAATATAATTCACATGCACAATATCGTATTTAAATAATAAACTAGACTCTTACAGATTCTGTGAAAGACAAATCTTTTAAAAAATGAAATTTTGACCTGGTTTGTCTCGAAATTGAATAAAAGTGAGGAACTGGCACAAGTGGCCACTCCACAGTCAATTGCCGACTGCAAACAAAGAGTAAGAGTAAAGGGCAAATATGTACATAGGTACTCGGCTATCACAAGCCACTGCGGGCCCATCCTAATATGCATTTACCTTGAGTTGAGATTTCCTCTTGAGTGCGGCAATCGAACGAGTCTGTTGTCGTAGCACCTCCAGCGCACTGTTCACGTCAACGTTGGAATCGGGAGAAGCAGCACCAACAACAACAACAACAACAACAACAACAAAGTTTCAATCGTCGGACCGAAATTTAGACCTCAAACGCCAATGAAAACGAATATTTCGATAATAAACGAAAATTCAACGTATTTCAGTCGTCAGGAAGCGTGCGAATTTTAAACAATTAACAATACAAATTGTTTTCATATATTTGTTTAGATATTATTTTGATCAATTGGCCGTTTGTTCTTATATCACGTTATGAATGTTTTTGTAGCTAAAAATATTGAAATTTACGCAATGTTTATGGAATGCCCTTTCAATTTTTGAGAATTCTCTGAAAATACTAACACAATTTTCTCGCCGCAAACGAGGCTGGATATTTGAATCTTGGAACATATGTATACTGATAAACAAATAAAGTGCTAGTTTTGGCCACGCCCACTATTGATATCCCCCGCAGAGATAGTCATCAAATTGGAAAGGAGAAAGGAGCAAGAAAAATTGCGCCCACCTTTTACAGGTCCCAGTTCTGGGAAAAAGGTCTCAGCGCTACCAACCCAATAATCCAGAAGAGTCCTTTCGACTGATTTAATCTGTTATTGCACTGTTAGCAATGTTAACAGAGTGTTGCGCAGTCGGCTATGCTATTAGGGTGTTTATGTAAGTTCCGTTTTGCGTAGTTCCGTAACGTGCATAGCAACCGGAAGCATAGAACACACAAACATAAATTTACCTACGTTTGTATGTACAGTGAAATGCTCGAGCTAAAATAAATGCTTGAATGCAGTAAAGTTTTAAGGCGTGGGTGAAGATTGACCTATAAACCAAATATTGCCTTTTTTTGAAAAATCAAGGAAAATCTGTAGTTAAATTGGAGCCGTTGGGTTTAATGCTTCTTGTTGGTATTCAGGTTTTCGGTAGAAATACTTCAATTGCATCCAAAATTTAAATTTTTTTAAAATCATCAAATAGTATTTTTCAATTATTATAATAGAGTTCTCACGAGAGCACACACAGATACAAGAAATCGAAATTACGAATTAATATTTTCAGTCTTTTTCAAAATAGAAATATTTTTTATATTGCGTGCTTGCCAAATGGTTCACTTCACAAATTGCTTCGATGTTTATGTTTCCACTCGTTAATCAAATTGTGCGAATTTCCGAATTTCCGAATTTTCGTGCGCCTTGACCAGTTGTCGCCTTGCAACTGGGAGCCAGGCGAATGCAGCAGCGTTTGCGAAACGCGCAAGCCCTGAGTTTGAGGGCGAAAAGTGTTAGATTTTCATTAATAAAAATCATGACCGGCAGTTTGGCTGCACCGCGCATGTGTGTAGTAAACAAGTAAGAACTTTGCAAGCGGGTGTAGCCCACTGCGGGATACTGGCGGTGCATTGTTTTACTCGCAAAATGTGGTGAGTACTTAAGAAGTTCGGCAAATACAAATTCGCAGTTTGTGTCTAGTAGGCGAGGCCCCGAGTGCATATTCCTAGTATTTACTTTATAATCCTCTGCTAAAAAATTGAATTCCCACTTACAGACGGGCATTGTGCAAACTAATATACCTTTTTTTTACGTCGACAACCGCATATAAAAATGGTTGCAAGGCGATGGGAGCAATGAACCCTGTCGCCGTAAATGCAACAAATGACCCAATCAAAATGCTTGTCTAGAAAAGAAATATACATTTTTTGACAATAACCGCTAATTGCACAAAATAAAAATTCCTCTCATTAAAATGATAGATATGCATAACCATACATTTAAATTCAATAATTATTTTTCCGCCAAATTCGTAATGCAGGCCAACAAAACAATCGATATTATAATTGAAGATATACATTTTTAGTATTTTTGTCTGGATAATCGAGCGACCACCACAATATGTTCTTTTAGCATTTGCATTTTTCTGTACTTATGTACTGTCACACTTATCGTTAAATTTGCCAAATGTGCAAAAGCAGACGACGGCGGCCTTTTGCTAAAGCCTCAAATGAATACGAATAAAATGTGCGTGAATACTAATAGTATTTAAAAAGTGTGGTCACTAGTTATAAATGTTTGTGGCTTGGTAACTTCATTAACTTGTGTCGCATAAGCAAAAGGGTGTGCGAAAAACACCGCTGCTGGTGCAATCGCTTTCAAAAAGCGGTAAGTCGTACATTCAATTAATGCATTATTTAATATTAAGCTGTTATTAAGGCATACATACATATGTATGTTCGCAAATTATTTGTATAAAATCCAGCTTCACTGCCATCGTCTTTCATTCTGTTCTGTGTATATTCGCATTGACTGTTTTGGCGCAATTCTTTCGGCATTTTGTTGCATTGCGCATAGAAATTCATGATGTCAGAGCGAGATAAATATATGTGTCTGCTTCTGGGCAGTAGAATTCCATCCGGGGTAAAACGCTAGCGTTTGTATACCCTTGCGAAAGGTATTAATTTTTAAATTCATACAATATAAAACAAGTTTTTCCTATAACGTATTAATTTAATAAATTTATATACAGTATGTCAATTCCATGTGATATGTGATAAAATACCTAAATATGCCCAAAACGCGTTTTGTATAAGTAGGCTTTGGCAACTCTGCATTTTCTTAAATGAAATTCGTATAAAATGGCTTTTATTTATTAACGAGAAACTTGAATTAAAATTTGGATATTATCTCGTTAAAAGTAAGTGTGTTATATTAAACTGCATTTGGTTTGTTGTACGTTTGTACCTGTCTTGTTGCCGCTACACCTAAAAACTATTTTCGATTAAGCCGGCAATGCACACATATACCTACATACATACATACATGCATGCATGTGTTTAAATACAAATATACAGATGCATACCTACTGATGCACATACGCATATGCATACATGAGTATTCTCGTGTGCAACTGTATGCACAAAACAAGGTTATGTTGACGGGTACACAATCGTAGACTGCCATTTGCACCGACAGCGTTGGTGTCCCTACTAACAATCCCCTCAATACCCTCATGCAGCGCTAATATGGCCTGGGCTCCATCGACAAACTTTGAGGACGATTTGGTTGACTTAGAGCCGAATTTCAATTTTATACATGGACAGCTAGCATACGAAGCAAAGCGGAAGGAGGAGTATACTCCTCGTCCAAAATCGACGTACGAGTACCTCGCAAATCGGCAAAAGCGCAACGAGGAAATAGAAAAAGTACACAGCTCAAAGTCGAAGGAAATTCGCGCCAGTCTGGCTATGATGGAGCGTATACAGGAGATAGCTGGAACCAAGCCGTTAGGTGAGCACGCGACCATGTCAGATTGGGACGACACAAGCACCGTGGAGAAGGAGGCGGTTGCTATGATGAGGCATTTTGGCATGATGTCCATGACTGATGGCTCGCTGGCGCCTCCAAAAACTGAACCTTTGCCACACAGTAACATCCACGTGATTCGAAATGGTCGACGAAACTTTCCATTAATCTTGGATCCCAAGTATTTCGAGCCTGGAAAGACACGCCAAGGGAGTAACTCGAGTTATAGCTCGGCAACAAGCGGAACTAACACCACACAAGCCTCCGAGTCTGGAAGTAGTGTTTATGCCACTGCCAACTCACATTTGGATACAGATAGCAGTCAAGATGAACAAAGTTACTGCGAAATTCCGTATACGTTACTCGAAGAAACATTGGAACCAAAACTGAACCATCCTCCAAAGCCGCATAAAACCAAAAAGAATAGAGCAAGTCGTCCGTCCCAAAGTCAGCGGCTTCAGATGGGCACAACGAACAGGCGCCATTATCTATAAGGATCTATGGAGGAGCCATTGTCAAGTGATATAATCTCCAATACATATCGGATATTACAGTATGGAATGAGAACATGAGGCCTTAAATGAAACCTAAAGTAATGTGATCCATAAATTTAATTTAGAATAGTAATAAATGGGGTCTTATATATATAATAAATAAATATTATTAAAATCGGCGAAATTGAAAAACTTGTGTTTTAACAAGTTAAAGCCATTCAACTATAGAAAACGTAAATTAACATAAAGATTCCGCATCCGCATCTGAAAATGCGCGTTAAAATTTGATAAGAGTAAAAGATATATCGAACTTATTTTTTTATTTTGTTTAAAATAAGCTAACCTTTTCTTATAATAGTTCCTTTAAATTTAAGTCCGTTAATTTCTCGTGGTGAAATTGTCAATTTCTTTTGGTTGTTGAACTGATCACAAATATTTTCAAGTTTTAACATGATGTGATCAACCAATAATATGTTAAGCTATGAATAAAAGTAAATATTTTTATATAAGAAAAAGCTAAATTTAACAAAATCTTTTAAGATTATTTTTACAACCCAAATTCTTAGTGGTCCGTAACAGGGTTCGTTCAGGTTCGCGATCCTGGTTTAACGCGTTCATGAATCCCGATTTTGATCCTTGGCTCGTCTCATTTCTTCCGGTATTAAACAAATTAGTTAATTAATTGCTTACATATTTTTATTTATCGAAGTTGTTTTATTTTCATATTTAGAGTATAAAGATAACATAGCATTGCGGCCAATAAAATTATTGTTTAAATACAAGTTTTGTATATTAATGTTGCATTTTGTTAAACGATGTACCATCTTTCAATCCTTGAATATACAGTTATTAGGATTGATCGATTGCGGAATATCCAAACTTTGAAGTGTTAATGAAGACCTGGGCAAGTTCCTAAATTTGAAATTTTGAATATCTTCTATAGAATAATTATTTGTATTTATGTTGTGGTGTACTGGCTACAGATGTCTGTTATGACAGTTCGGAGCTGAAAACAAGGTACCCCTTTTTAAATATTGGCAACGAAGCATTTTACGAATCTAAAGACTGTCGGACAAGTCTCTGGACTCGTTTACGTAAATATGTACATATGGATGGGTGTATGTATAGACACTGTTCCTATATGCCCGCAACTTGTTTACCCTGACGACTGTCTATTTACACACATGTGCGAAAATATATGCATGTCTGTGCAAATGATATGCACATATGCATATAAACATCTACGTAACAGAAATCGTGGTCCTTATAAATAAGTCAGCAACATCTCACAGCCACGCTTGACATCAAGGAAAAACCAAGTAAGAGCGATTTAGTCGAGGATGATTGACTTACAGATACCCTCGAACCGCTTATACATATTCATACACACAAAATATAACTTGCGTGCTTGTAGCTACCCCGAGATGCCGCATCAACATTGTCTCAGATCCATTCACAGAATAACATGAAATCTTCTATGAATCGGGAAAATGCATTAAACATACATAAGGAGATCTTATTAACTATACATATTCATGTCCGAATCAACAACTGAGTCGATCTATCCATGTCGCTCTCTCTCTCTCTCTCGCTGGGTCCGTCCGAATGTATGAATTTATGCCTGCCTCGGGAACTATGAGAGCTAGGGGCTTGGAATGTTGTATCTAGGTACTCCGCGAGCCCGCGCAGTACGAGCTTGTTTTAAATCATCTTGTCCCATTTCGGATAATTCGATAAAAATCGATATCGAAATTGAAACTTTTTTTCTTGCAAGGTATGTAGATTCTTATATACTCTACCAACAAAATTGAAAAAAGGTTTAGAGCTGTAGTCTAAGGCTACATACATTTAACTCAAATTTGGAGCCTTTAGCTTATATAATTTCCGACATATGCTATATAAAAACTGGATATCGATATCGATTCCGTGGAAATGGGGAACAATATGGAGACAATATGAGTTCAGACAGAATGCAAGACGGACATTACCCGAAACTATACACTAGTTTTTAGACTTTCATTTGTTACCGATTACCAGTAACAGCTTCTATTTTAAGACCATCTACAAATGATAAAGGCCCACGGTACAACAGCGGGAATGGTAACCCTTTTACAAACCACATTGACGGACACGTCGCAAAACAACTCCGATGTCTGTAAGGGAATACTATGCAGCACAGTGATAAAATGTACCCATACATATGTATATGTATGTATACGCATAAGCATGTGGATGTATGTGTATGTACTTGTGTATGGCCAAAGATGCAGAAGAACAAAAAGAAGCAACAGCCCTGCACTCACCGGCTATCGCCTGCGTAGCAATAGCTTCGCTCTCACCGGCTATAGTTGTTGTGCCGCATCTCTCTCCGTCGGTGAGTTAGTGACAGCTGCTTCTTTAAGCTTAAGAGCTGCAAGTTTTGCTAGGAAGCTGTTTGGAGCGGATACTGCGAGAGAGAGACTTGCGCCAACCACCGAAAGCCGACCAAAGTTGGCTGTTTCCAACATTTTGGCGCGCATGCGTAAGCTTTCGCTCCTACGCGCTCTCAATATTTCATATGTCGCTCTCTGCGGCTCTCTGTCCCTCCCTCTCGCTCTCTTTGTGACTCTTACTCGCTCAATGCTAAACTCGGCGCCTTTGCTCTGGAAGTTTCGAGTTGCCTGGTCTGGTCCATGCCGTGCAGATTGTAAAATGTTCATGTATCGGGCGCATTTGCTGCTCACAGTTTGCTTTTAACGCTTGCCCAGGACGAGCCGCTGTAGGCGACAGGATAGCGACAGTGTGTTTTGCCATTTTGGATTAAGAGTATTAAATAGAGTTAAACTAGAATAACCAGTGCACAGGTTGATTGCGATCCACAACATTCGCAAAAAGGTTAAACATCGACGCACTTTGGCACTTTTAAGGTGTAGATACATACAAAACGCTACCTACACATCAACCGGGCTTATATGTATGTGTGGCCTACGCGTCGGCAGTCGGCATTCGGCATTCGTCAGTGAGTTTTGTGACTCCAAGCGCTCTCCGAGAAATTAACATTAATCGCGGCGTTTGGCGTTACTTGAGTACAAAACGGTGGTGGAATACCCCAGCCGCCGTTATTAAGTAAAAAAATGCGAAGCATAAAAAAACGGGCCGCGCACCGAATACTCTGCCAGAACCGATGCAATTCACGCGCGCGTGTCAAAGGCGAAGGATAACCGTAATCCTGCACTGCCAACAGGAGGCGTTGCCTCTCATCCAATGATGGTAATTCCTCAATGTTAATGAAATTCAAATTAAATTTTACTTAGCTCTTTGTCAAATTAATTTGCAAGTTTTCTGCACACGTGGCTGCTTTCGGCTCCTGCTATAAACCGAAAAAAAACTCGAGGAGAGGTTACAAAAAAAAAACTGGCTGGGCTGGTATTTTCATGCTGCGCTTGTCTGTCGTATCTGCCAGCTTGATATGTCCATCTCCGTCCCGGCCACAGCTTTGATACCTGTCTCTCGTTCCTTATCCGCAACCGTCGACAGAGTGTTGTGTATTTTGTCCTAACCATACAAAATCTTTTTTTTTTTTCATTTCTGCATTTGTTGTTCCGGGGCAAGAGGCTAGAGTGGCAGGAGCCGCTTCATGTACAGGGCGCATAAAAATAAACCGGTGCTCAAATAAAAATACTGACGAAACTCGTATTTGCTTAACCTCATCGACAGGCAGCGGGGCAATGTCTCGCAGTCTCCATTCCTAGTGGCAGCCGCCGTCCCGCGCTGTACAATATACATACAGTCGCCGTGCCAGTTCCTGTCCTAGGCAGCCACGAGCTTTTCTCTCTGTTGCTAGGGGACTAGTTTCCTGCTGGACGGGTGAGAGGGGGGAGGGGATAAGCAAAAGTGATCGTCGCTGTATCGAGCTTATTGCAAAGTATTTTTTTCTTCATTGCATTCATTTACAATAGATATTCATTTAATTTAAAGATGATTCGTCGAAAACACATCTCTTTTAAATAACATGTCCTTCCCATGGCTGTATGGATTCGTAGTAAAATACTTATGGAGAAAATATTTACCCAAAGAAACCCTGTATATAAATATACCATGTAACGTCCCAATCCTTGACTTTAAAATTATTTCACAAACCTAGTTACAACAGATTTCATAATGAACTCAGCAAAATTAATTATTTAAAAACTCTTGATTGAAGTTAATTTAAAAGGTGATTTTCCAAGTCAAATGAAATTCATCGACTCCAGGTCACACTTTGACCAATTCCAAGCATTGATTTAGAGTTGTAAAATACGGATTAAGGATTTTTTTATGTACATTGCAGTTAGGCAAATTCCACACTCCCTGCTAAGGCTAGAAATCAGTCCTTTACATGGGAATCCTTTATTCGCAGAGGGCCCTGCCAGTATCCTAATCTAGACTGTACTGGCGTTGTTTGACTATGCGCCACACGGCGAGCAAGAAATGTCAGCCTGTTAAATATATATGGAGTACACACGAGGAATATTATAAACAAAAGCTGAATGGTGGCCTGTTGAACGAGCCACCAGAGAAACAGCATGAGCTTTTCAGCACGAAAAAAGAAAAACCCTGTCGAAGCCAACGTCAGTCTAAGAGTCTTGGCATCATCCCAAGAGAACGGCAGAAGGATTCAATGCTTTATTTGTCTCTGCCTTCATGACAGCAACGACGTGGTAAACTAAGCATCTTAAATGGAGAATCACAGCAAGAGCACAAGCTTTTTAGAGCAAATTAAGTGTACTGAATATATATAAATAGGGAAAAGAATAGGCAAAGGGATTTGTGTGCGTCTGCCTTTGTTGATTGGTTAAGAGACAATAAGAGAGAAAATAGCGCATTACTGAAAACATAGATGATCACAATATGAACAAACATTGTTAAATATTTCCTATGTTCTGTAACCTTTTAAAACACATTGCATGTGTATATATTTATTTTTATATATATTAATATATACATACATATATATACCTTAACTGAGCACTCTTTCGCTAGCTCTACAGCGCATGTGCCTGTCGGTGTGGTTGCATGAGCGAACCATGACCATACCAAAAGATGAAATATTAAAGAAGCATAAAAAGTTGGCTTTTTTCCTTTCGTTTGTACACCACGAAGCTGAACTGCAGCATCCCCAAAATACATACGTGTGTCTGTGTCGGTGTCTGTGTGTGTGTGTGTGTGTGAGTGTGTGTGTGTGTCTGAGGGTAGGTGAATGTACTGGATATTGGCGGAGTTTTATTTAATCGTATGTGTGAATGACAGTGAAACTTTGAGGTTACGAACCACGTCGCATCGTATCATGAGTAAAGTAGTTTTTATTAATGGTCGTCTTTTTTTATATATACATATTTTTATTTCTGCTTGCAGCTCGACGCTGCTCACGCTCGCATGGCAAACAGATGATAATGGCACATGGCGACATCAGTTAGGACTAGATACGTAGACAGGATATCAAAGTGGCTGCATATTGTACGCCTAAGCGGCGCAATCAAGGGACATGGCTGCCAACGCAGCAGCGACGTCGGCGACCCGTGAATTCGTAGAGGGCTGGACGCTGGCGCAGACGCTAGGCGAAGGTGCCTATGGCGAGTAAGTGGCAGCAGTGCATCCAAAATCAAAGCCATACTGCATTGTAATGCATCACACACGTCCCCATCCCCCTGTGTATGCGTGTGCTAAAGTCAATAAACCGGAAATGCCGTGTGGCCAAAAAAAAAAAAAGAACCCACTTTTCCGGCGTATTTTCTGCATAAGCCACTCTCTTCTGCTGCTGCTGCTGCTGCCGCCCAGTTATCCAGTTGCGAAGCTCGTTTTTGTGGTGCGCATGCTCCAACTATGAAGCATCGGAAGTGGTAACAGGAGCAGTGCACTAACCAGTCGGCAAACAGACAAAGGCAGACGAAGGGGGGGGGGGGGGGGGGAGGGGCGATTGCAACTGCACTGGCAAAGTTTCCACTGCAAAAAACTAAAGAGAAATATTATCTTTCTGGCGCAGAGTCAAGCTGCTCATCAATCGTCAGACGGGAGAGGCCGTGGCCATGAAAATGGTCGATCTGAAAAAGCATCCCGATGCCGTGATCTCAGTGCGTAAGGAGGTATGCATCCAAAAAATGCTGCAAGACCCGCACATTTTACGCTTCTTCGGTAAACGATCGCAGGGGCACGTGGAGTACATATTTCTTGAATACGCTGCCGGTGGAGAGTTGTTCGATCGCATTGGTAAGTTGTACGAAATTGCAAATTATTCTTATTTAAAAATCATCTTGATCACTATCTCGTTTGAAAATCTCTAAGAAAACGCCTCAAGATCATTTAAGAAGTCTTATTAGATGTCTAGTTTATATCGTCAGGTAATTCTTTGTTAAAGCAACATCAATTTTTATATCAAAAATGTTTGATCTTTTACAAATTCGGCTAGATCTGAATTGGAGTTACCCAGACTTCTAATGACATTAGTACAGACGAGAAAGGATTACGCAATTAACTGGAGTAGACCATTTTTTCTTAATGTCTAAAATAACTTGCTGCTGGATCTTATGAACAGTCTAGTCGATATGTGAAGATAGTGCTCGTCCGTCTATCAGATTGTATGCCTCTCAGTTTTATAAGAATCCTGTTGAAACTATTTGTTGCAGGTTGTCCATATGCCCGTTTCTGGGCTTTACTCTTCTTTACTATGCTCCTGTAATATAAGCAATCGGTTAATATTAAATACTTGACATCTTCACATTTATGTCTTTATGAATGTATACAAGAATGGGTGAAATAAATTGCTTTTATGCTGAAAAGTAAAACATAAATACTATTATGACCCATTCGAAATGGGTCTTACTGGTTCTTTTTACTGAGGATATTTCCCAATCTTACAGTGTTTATTGCATAGTAATTGTAACCAGTAATAACTTTGATCCTTACCTATTTATTGTACTTACAGAGCCCGACATCGGAATGCCACAACATGAAGCCCAGCGATACTTCACGCAGCTGCTCTCCGGACTTCAGTATTTGCATCAGCGCGGCATCGCCCACCGCGATCTGAAGCCGGAGAATCTGCTACTAGACGAGCACGACAATATTAAAATATCAGACTTTGGAATGGCCACTATGTTTAGGTATGTTTAGGCTGCTCTCATCGTGGCACAAATTTGCTAGAAAAAAATATCAGTTTAATCAATTCATGATATTAAACGTTGCTTTAAGTATATAAGTATAAACTAGGTAGTTAACAAGGATTGCTATTTTATAAAATTTATCTTGTCATATGAAAGATATGCCAAATAATATTCTAATAACCAAAGGAGTACAAATATATATTCTGAATATATGAATTATCCACTTACCATTTAGGCGCCAAATTTAATCCCATTTAAATCCCTCTTTTCGCTCTTTAACTTCTGTGCCGACTCACATTTGCCTTTTAGATGCAAGGGACGAGAGCGGCTGCTGGACAAGCGATGCGGCACTCTGCCGTATGTGGCTCCGGAGGTTCTGCTAAAGCCGTACCATGCGCAGCCGGCGGACATTTGGTCGTGTGGTGTCATATTGGTTACAATGCTGGCGGGTGGTAAGTACAATAGAAATTCCACTGAACGGACTTTTGTTCTGCTTTTTAAAAAAACATTGCATATCGTTGGCTCTGCTGTCGCCCACATTGCTCGCTCTTAATTAAAATATAACGGCACAGTTACACATTCAATGTCATTCGGATTTGTCATGTGTTTTGTGTGTTCGTTTTATCTCACAATTCCATGTTTTGTCTCACCCACACAATTTGAACTCTTTCATTTTTGCTGTTTCTTTGGTATTCTAGCTGTAGATTGTTTTTACAGTTTGTATCATCTAAAGCTTTTATACCAAAGCTCCAGCTTAAATTGCTTGCCACCGCCCGCACCCGCCAACATCAGCATCAGTATCAACAAAAACAAAGACAACAACAAAAATTAGCTGCAATATTATAACTGTAATATGGCCCGAACAACAGTTACAACAGTTGAAAAGCGACCTGGTCACACTGTTTATTAGTGCACGATTTACACATTTTGAATGAGCTTCTAATTTGCACGGATTTAACTCACCAAACCACATCTTGCTATATGCCTAAGACTTGTTATGATCAGCGCATCTGAACCATTTTATATTTCTTTGGTTTTTTTCTGTCTGTCATCTCCTCAGAACTGCCCTGGGACCAGCCATCGGCGAGCTGCGCGGAGTTCATCAACTGGAAGGACAACGATCGTTGGCAAACGCAGACACCGTGGAGCAAACTCGATACTTTGGCCATATCCTTGCTACGCAAAGTTCTGGCCAGCAGTCCAGGTGGACGCCTAACGCTGGAGAAGATTCTCGACCACAAATGGTGCAACATGCAGTTTGCTGAGCATGGTAAGAAACGTCAGTCACAAGAGCCGGGCTCGTGATGTTCGCCAACGAAACTTTTCCGTGCTGAAATGCTAGCCTGCACACCCTGCTGCTCAGGTACTTAGTGACTCTCAATCATCTATTGCTTTGCATACCTTGAGGTTCGCTCTGTGCCTGTGCCGCCCGTGTTGCACAACCAACCACACATGCCGACGTGACCACGTGACCGACCGGGAGTGAAGTGTAGTATCAATACCGTGGACTAAATGGACGCCGCACTGCCGTTGCTTTGGCGCTTTAGCTGTATGATAGATTTGAATACTTCATAAAGCTAGATTACCAAAGCATTGGCTCTGTGGCCAGCTGAACAAAGTTGTGAATAGAATTCATTAATAACTAATAATTAATAGGTGCACCTCATGAATATTAGTTTATTTGTTTGCCTTTTTATTTTGCATATTATTTGCTCTTTGGTGATTTTAGCTGTATGGTGTGCGCGTATTCCATAGAGCTTTATTACCAAAAACCAAATGGTTTTTGCATTGCTTTCTTTCATTATTCACTTGTAATTTTAATCAATATTTATATGTTTTTGTTACCACTTTTTATTCCTTTTTCAATCGACTTAAACGGGCTTAACATTTCTTGCAGATCGTTCCTATGATTTGGTTGACTCGGCGGCTGCCTTGGAGATTTGCTCGCCCAAGGCCAAGCGTCAACGCCTGCAGTCGAGCGCCCATCTCAGCAACAATCTGGATGACTCAATATCGCGGAACTATTGCTCGCAACCCATGCCCACGATGCGCAGCGACGAGGACTTCGATGTGCGGTCCCGCATCAGACATGGCAATGGCCAAGAAGACGGCGACAGACAGGCGCTGGTCCAGGAAGCACGCTTAACCTACTGCTTCTCCCAGCCGGCGATGCTGGATGACCTGTTGCTGGCAACGCAAATGAATCAAACGCAAAGTGCATCACAGAACTACTTCCAGCGCTTGGTGCGACGCATGACCCGCTTTTTCGTGACCACGCGCTGGGATGATACAATTAAGCGGCTCGTGGGCACAATCGAGCGGTTGGGTGGATACACGTGCAAAGTTAGCGACGATGGCGTTGTCACAGTGTCCACTATTGATAGACGTAAGCTCCGCTTAGTATTTAAGGCGCATATCATTGAGATGGATGGAAAGATACTCGTCGACTTCCGGCTGTCTAAGGGCTGCGGCCTCGAGTTCAAGCGTCGTTTTATCAAAGTTAAGCTTGCCCTGGAGGATATTTTACTGAAGGGACCAACAACTTGGCCTATTGCGATTGCAACCAATTCGGTGCCCTAGCTTTTCGTACTAATAAGACATAGACTTCTTTAAATTAGCCTATCATTTGTTTGTAATCACACTTCATGTGTCATTTTTAACTTTTTTACTTTATACATAGAATAAGTATTTCAAAAGAGTTTTTAGTTTTGTTAAATGTTGAATAAGTATTTTACAGTAGTTAGCTAAACGTTATGAAACAATAAATTGACACTGATTATGACGACATTTAAACAAAATTCAGACCGTTACTTCTATATGAAAATATTTTCAATGCCCAATGTAAGTATTAAACAAATTTGTAAATCACAAGCCAGGGTTTAAAGGAAAATATATACCTATTAGGATTTTTAGGCCTCGCAAACCAGGACAACTACTGATAACCTCCTAGAAAGATCTAAGACTAAAATATGTATTGAGAACGAAAACATATGAATCTTTCACAGTCTGAGAGCTATAATTTTCAACAGTCTATAACTCAATTATAAGCAAAGCTTATAAAGAAAAACTCGGAAGCGGCAACATCCATGTCGATTAATTAAATTGGTATTTACACTGTGAACAGAGTATTCCGCAGTCGGCTTTCATCGATGGCAAACTTCTTACTTCTTTTGTGTTTATGAAACTAAACATAGATTATTTTTGCTACAGGCAATACATATACAGAACGAGATGAGTTATTATCAAAGCAGCTTGGAAACTATCGGTTGAAATATAATTATAGAACAACAAATTTATTTTTAAGGCTTTACAATTTTCGATGAATTTTATCAGCATTGGACAAAATTCTATCCAGATGGGCTGATTCGATAATAAGGTTTACTGAACAAAAATTAATATAAGGCAAGCTGGAGATATATGTAATAACCTTGTATACCAATGTTTTAATTTCGACCGATTATTCCTATTATAGCCGTATGATATTGTTGTCCGCATTGCTACTGTTTTGCAGATGTTCGGTTTTAAGATATATAGTATATAGATTGCAATTTCTGAGTTCCGGGTTCTATCTTAAAAAAGGACAGATTTTTATAGAATGAAAACTTTTTTTAGAACCTAAATGATAAGATATTCAAATGATTTTGCACATAGTGCTCACTACACTCCTCTTGTTGATATAAATTAAAGATTAAACAATACAGAACGATAGAAATAAGTGGGAAAAATTGTGAAACTCGAAGTTAAAAAGACTTTCGTGGCAACACGGTTTCACTTGGAATAAATACACATGTTGTAGTTAACGATTATTTATTTTGCAATCAAATCGATTTGTGGCAAACACGTTTTGTAATTTTCAACAATATTTATTTCACATCTACTAACACTTTGAATAAAAGGTATCATATATCGGCTTCTAGAACATGTGATCTTTATTCGCTTTTTTATTGAGTTGATGATTTCATTTTATTCCTCAACCAACGTTACAATGGTGGGGAGAAGAGGTCAATCTATGTAAAATTTTCACAATGATATTGGCTAAAGAGCCGTCACGACTGATTAGAAATCTACTTGTAGCCCATATATACGTATATAAATAATGAGTAGAGATAGATGGTAACAGTAATAATAGTGTCTAAAAACGAAGCAATATTTGGGTTTTTTAAATTGGTAACTTTGTGCGCCAGACACAAATGTAAAGGTTGACGAACACGTACACCAAATTGACACCTCTCACTTAGCTTGCCGCCGTGGTTTTCATTCGATTGGGTGCTTGGTGTTGTTGGAATTAATAAGTGACGATATTTATTGTGGTTTTCTGAAGCTCTTTCCGGCGAATTTAACGCCCTGGCCGATCTCTTCCTCAATACGCAGTATTTGGTTGTATTTGGCCAGACGCTCGGAGCGGCAGGGAGCGCCAGTTTTGATCTGGCCTGTGGAAAGACCAACAACAAGGTCACCAATAAAGGAGTCCTCGGTTTCACCGGAACGATGAGAGACCATAGTTCCCCAGCCATTCTTCTTGGCCAGCAGATGAGCCTGAATAGACTCTGTCACTGTTCCAATCTGGTTGACCTTCAGCAGCAGACAGTTGCAGGCGCCCTTCTCAACGGCGGTGGCAATGCGTTTTGGGTTTGTGACTGTCAAATCGTCACCGACAATCTGTATCTTGGTGTTGGATGTCAGATTGGTCCAGGCATCCCAGTGATCCTGATCGAAGGGATCCTCGATGGACACGATGGGGAAGTCCTTGATGAACTCCTGGTACAAGTTAGCCAGTTTCTCTGGTGTTAGCCATTGCGCCTTATCACTTTGTGGGTTCTTGAAATCCAAATCATACAGACCATCCCTGAAGAACTCGGAGGCGGCAACATCCATGCCGATCTCGATCTACAATAGCAATAAAATGAAAAATAGAATACAGTCTGGTTTAAGATGGTTTCTAATTGCTTACCTTGCCAGTGTATCCAGCCTTTGCGATAGCATCGTTGATGAGGCAGAGAGCCTCCTTGTTGGACTGAATATTGGGGGCGAAGCCACCCTCATCACCTACTGCGGTAGCATCCAAGCCGAACTTAGCCTTGATGACGTTCTTCAGGTGATGGTACACCTCGGAGCCCATCTTCATGGCCTCGGTGAAGCTGGTGGCACCGGTTGGCAGGATCATGAACTCCTGCATGGCCAGCTTGTTACCAGCATGGCTACCGCCGTTGATCACGTTGAAGGCGGGCACAGGCAGAATGATCTCCTTGTTGCCAGCCAGATCTGCAATGTGCTTGTACAGCGGCACATTTTTCTTGGCAGCACCAGCCTTGGCCACGGCCAAAGATACGCCCAGAATGGCATTGGCGCCGAACTTGCTCTTGTTCTCGGTTCCATCCAGCTTGATCATGAAATTATCGATGGCCGCCTGGTCTGTCACATCCAGATTAGCCTTGATCACTTCGGGGCCGAGCGTGTTGTTCACATGGCCAACGGCCTTCAGCACGGACTTGCCGTGGTAGTTGGCCTTGTCGTTATCGCGCAGCTCCAGAGCTTCATGCACGCCTGTCGAGGCACCGGAGGGTACGGCAGCCCGGAACAGGCCCAAGTCAGTGGTCAGATCGACCTCGACGGTGGGGTTGCCACGCGAGTCGTAGATTTGACGTGCTTTAATCGACTTGATGGTCATGTTGCTTTCTTTTGAACTGCAAGCAAAAAGCACAATAGTGGTGTCAAAAATATGAACAAAATTGTATAACAGCGCAGCAGGATCATCAATTGTTTAACTTTAAAATTACTACGAGTTTTTTATGTAAAGAGCACATTATTTAGTCGGATAATTTTCCACACGGCAAATTCGTGGCGTTGGTTTTACATTAAAGATTAGGTAATTTTTTACACATTTTCATAATTATTTTATCCGTTGGAATATAAAAAAAATTAAGGACAAAAATGGTTTTTCCCACCCGCAATGCAATTCTTTTTTTATAAGTAAAATGCGGGAGAGGTGGCAACAGTGCTCAAAGTTTGTACGTATGACCTCTACGCGGCGCTTTAAGGTCACAGCAAAAGTAATGAGCATAGAAAGGCGAAGCACGCAAAATTTGTCATATTAAGATGGAAAAGTGTAAATCTTTTCACAAGCATTGCGAATTATTACATATTTACATAAAACTGTAGAAACGCCCAAAGGTATCAGTAAAAATATATATATGTTTGCATATATATATATGTATATATAGTCAGTATGCACATAGTAAAAGGTGTTAGATAACTTTATCATTTATAGAATGAAAATTTGCGATTAAACAATTGATATCAAAATAAAAGCAAAAATAAATTAAAATATATAACAGACACAATCTCACACATATACATACCAAGAACTTTTAAATTTCAGAAACTTAAATCCAGACGAGAGCGACTCTATCGAGCTTCCGGCTTGGCTGGCTGATTTGCTACTGAACGCGAGCGTCGGACAATGCGATGAGAAACCGAACAAGTTATTTTTTTGCTGTATGTGCTTTGCTGTCGGCGCCGATGAATGCAGCAGGGGGTATACACGCACAGAGCGCAATACTAAAATGCTCGCCATTGTTGCTGTAGATTGTGGAACATGAACTGCCGCTATGACTGAGTATGCGTCCTCCAGGCGCGCTCCGGTGAGTGGAACTTGTGGGCGTAAGCGTAAGCTGGCTGCCGGTAACTCAGTGGGGGTGTGTATGATGGGATTGACCTTGTGCGAAGGTTAGGCGTAATGGCATCCACATGTGGTTTCCATTCGTTGATAAACTGGAACACCTTTTGGGAAAAATAATAAAAATATAATAATAATAGTAAAATAGTCTCCAAAACATAGTTTCTCTTAACAATAATATAGCAGTATGTTAACATTAAATATATGATGGCGCTTTCCAGCACTGACATGCATTGAGCACACAGCAGCAGCAACATCGATACCGAAACATCGATACAAAATTAACAATCTGTCGAGCACGCGGCCGGCGCTGTATTTTGTATTTGTATTTTCATAATGTCCACCAAGACGAGTATTATTATGCCCGGCGAGCGCGTCACGGTTGTGGAGGACGCTGCCAAAAGCAAGCGAATCATATTAGGTCCAGGACTAAGAAGAGTGGACGAAAAAGTTGTAGCCAGCAAGGCCGGCCCGCTCCGTCACAAGGAGCCCAACACCTTTTGGGTGGACAACTATCAGCGGCGTTACGTACCAGCGCGGGGAGATCTCATTATCGGCATTGTCAAGGCCCGAGCCGGCGATTTGTATCGTGTGGACATTGGGGCGGCGGACTTGGCTTCAATTTCGTACCTGGCTTTTGAGGCAGCCACAAAAAAGAATCGGCCGGATCTTAATCCTGGCGATCTACTATACGCCCGCGTACTTAACGCCAATGCGGACATTGAGCCTGAGCTGGTGTGCGTGAACTCGAATGGCAAACGCGGAAAGCTGGGAGTGCTGCAGGATGGCTTCTTCTTCAAGTGCAGCCTAAATTTAGGTCGGCTTCTGCTGCGCGAGAGCTGCCCCGCTTTGGCAGCCCTTACGGAGGAGCTGCCCTATGAGATTGCCGTGGGCGTCAACGGACGTATCTGGGTTAAGGCGCACTCGACGCGGGAAACTGTGGGTCTGGCAAATGCCATTATGACACTGGAACAGGCAGGCTATGCGGAGATTGACAAGATCTGTGGGAATCTGAGTGGTGTTGTGCAAGCGTGAACACTTAACAAAATTAAAACATTTACAATTAAAAATTTGGAAATCCTTTATAATGAAATCTTCGAAACGGTGTAAAAACGAACAATATTTAAAGTTTTGAGGAAATGTGTGTGAAAGATAATTTCTAACTACATTGTCTGTGTCAAATTTCGTTAACCTATGCGAGTTGAAAATATTTTAATTATAAGGCTTTTCATGCCATTTATTTAGAGCATAATGTCATATATTCCTAAGTTTTTACATCCACATTTTCCAAAATTAAATTGTTTACCCATAGTTAATTCAGTAAACGCTATATTTAAATCGCAAGTCTATAATTTTATGTAGCACAATTTTTAACGCAAATTTGTTTTGTTTTGTAGCGGGGCTGCCACATCGCGCAAAGCTGACAAATCTAACAAATTATTGGCAACTCTTTGCGCACTATTTAAAATATTTCTTGCTATTTTAAGCACAGGTTATTGCGAAAAAAAAATCCCATGATTTTTTTTAAAAAGTCCCCGATTTTTTCAAAACCAATTTTAAAACCCCTAATTTGAAGTTAACATTACGTTTATCACGATTCATTACACAGAAACTCACATCTCAAGAATATGTGTATTAACTATTTACCTGTCCCCATTTTGTAAAAATTATTCGGGATATTTGGTATACAATGTATATTCATATACACACACACACATACATATGTAAATGGCGATCGCACAATATGCCCTGATTATGCAGTGTTGAGAAACGGTTTTTTTAAATTTGTCTTTATTAATTAGGGCAAAGAGAAAGTAGCCAGAATTTGGTCTCATCCACGCTGGCTATTTGGCTCCACTCTTTGCAAGATCGCATCACTGGCTTGCCGGAACAATCGATTGTACATGAAGAAAACAGCTGACTGTGTTATCGAGATAGTGCGTTGCATGAGATACGCCAAAGTGCAAAGTGCCATAAGATGAGTTTTCTAGAGCTTTTGTTTATTCTCCTGGTGCTGTACTATGTCGTCTATGTATTGCTCTGGGTAGTGCTCGACTGCAATGTGGCCTTGTGGTACAAATCTCGATTCGGGACCTCGCTCTCGACAATGCGCGGACAGGTGGTATGGATAACAGGTGCTTCGAGCGGCATTGGACACGCGTTGGCGGTTAGTTTGGCACGCCATGGAGTACGTCTGGTGCTCAGCGCGCGCCGTGTTGAGCAGCTGGAGCAGGTCCAAGCTGAATGCTTGGCCGCGGCGCGTGGCCTTTTGGCGCAAAGGGATGTGCTGATACTTCCAATGGACATGTTGCAGCTGGACAAGCACCAAGCACACTTGAACACAGTTCTCAATCACTTCGAGCGTCTGGATGTGCTGGTTAACAATGCAGGTCGCTCGCAGCGTGCAAATTGGACGGAAATCGAGATCCAGGTGGATCGTGATCTCTTCGAGCTGGACGTTTTTTCAGTTGTGCATCTGTCCCGCATAGTTGTGCGCTACTTTCTAGAGCAGAACGGCGGCCGAGGCCACATTGCAGCCACCTCCAGCATAGCCGGCTTCAGCCCGGTGCCTTTCTCAGCAACATACTGCGCCGCGAAGCACGCCTTGAATGCCTATCTGTATGCGCTGAAAGTTGAGCACCGCAAACTGGATGTTACTATATTTGCACCAGGACCCATTGCCACAGACTTTTTGCTTGAGGCATTCACAGGCTCCGAAGGTGGCAAGGTTGGCTTGAGCACGGTCAACCAGAAGCGCCTAACTGCGGAACGCTGTGGAGAGCTGTTTGCAGTCGCCATAGCCAACAAAATGGATCTGACGTGGTGCGGCTTGTTCCCAGTGAATGCGATGGCCTATTGCGCCCGCAATCCGACGCTCACCAAAATCCTGGGCCAGTTCATGACCGAGAAGACGTTGAACAAAATTCGCGAGGGAAAACTATAAGATCATTCGCTTCTCATTTTGATAATTTTATACATTAGTACATTTTGTAACAATACTCTACTTATAGATAAACAAATGTACATAAGATAAAGCAATTAATGCGGCTGCAGCCTAATTCTTGGCCAGCGCCGCTTTTATATGCTCCGGTATCTTGACGCGTTTTCTTTTGGCCTTTGTCTGTGTTGTCTGCTCTACGCCCTGTAATGCAGGCTTTTTCCTTTTGCTCTTTTTACAGGAAAGGGGATTTGGATTCTTTGGCCCCTTACATTTCTTTTGATGAACTGGTGTCTCGGCCGGTTTTAAGCCCTGTTTCTCTTTCATGTATTGGATTTTTTCTTCCTGCTTGCCCAGCATCAGATTCTTTGCTCGCTTTTGCACCCACTTCTTAGATGCGTCCGAGGGTGCTTCCAGCACGGGCGTCGCCTTGTGCAGGTACAAAAGGCAACGTCCGGGCACCTTACGCAGACTTGCCTGCAGCAGACGATCCTGTGACGCGACCACGTAGCGATTGTCTTTGGTCTGCAATTGAAAATTGTTGTAGTTTCAGGCGTGACACTAACCAACAAGCTCTCACCATCGATTTGAGGCACTCCATTGCCGGGACGGGTTTTCCCTCGTGCCCGCACTTGTGCACATGGAACTGCTTGACAATTGTTAGGGCGCCCGTCAAGGGAGCGCCTAGCGCCTCCGCTTCCAGTATGATGCATTGGGTGGTTAAAAGCTTGACATTACATTGGAAATATTTCTTTATCTGTTCCTCAATGCCAATTTTGTGCTGGAATTAGAAGGACGTATGTACATCACATTTGTAACAAGCTTTCTAGGTTTTGTACAAACTCTAAAGCATGGGTCTACACACCTGTAAGGCTGCCTGACAGAATGTTGCGTCGATGAGTACCTGATAGGGCTCACGATAATCAAAGTGTGTGGCAAAATATGCCAGTGTTTTGTGCGACTTTTTGAAGCGGGATATTTTCATCACGTTGTTTTAATATATCAACAAAACGCAAAATTCTCGATTGTACGATATCGATAAGTATTCGATGATTTGTTTAGCGATAGTATATATTTTAATGTATTCTTATCGATAAATTTGGTTATCAATTGAGGCAGTACCGCGAAACATCGCTTGTTTCTTCGACGAGCAGAGCTGCCACCTGCGATTGACGAACCTGCCAACTTACGATTGTATATTAATCGCGTGACATTTGAAAAATATTAAGAATGGCGCGAGACACGAGAAAAAAAAAATTGTGTGCAGTTCAACCACCCTTTAAGTTCTCACCCTCTGTGGCAATATTCTGCGTTCTGTTTTCGCCTATTTTTCGGCTTAGTAGTATTTCAAAGCAAATAGAAGCACGTCCATACTTTAAATGTGAAATATAAAAAATAAATATATATGAGATATATTTGCAAATAGGTTATGATATTCTCGCCGTTCGATTCTGTTTGATCAAAAAAGCCAAACACCAATCCGCTGTTCAAAATGTCGCAGAAAACTCGCATTTATATTGAAGTAAGAATATTTTGTGAGATCATCTCTTATTACAGCTGATTTTGAAGGACTCTGTAAGTTTCGGGAGGCATACAATTGCTATATTTAACCTAATTTCGAAGTTATAAACATATACGATTTCTTATTGAAGCTGTAATTTTTGTTCTTTCGATTCTTATAGACGTTTATAAAGTGAAAACGAGTATATTGGTTTTGTGTCAGATCCGTCTGTTTCGTATGAACTGACTTGAAGCAGAGGGTCCCGCTGAACGATCTATTTAAGATCGGAGTAGAGTATTGCGCAGTCGGCTAAACCCGACTGCGCAATTCTTTTGTTTTTTTTTTTGCGTTCGTCGCATTTTTGGGTGCAGTTTTTATGGCTTGTGCAGTTTATATGGCGTGTTCGCGCTGGTAACCTCCTCCGAAGTACTTTGTCCCTATAAACGACAATCGCAGTAAAAAAACGCGCAGTTTGCCTCTTGATTAAAACTTGTGTGGTTTTCAATTGTCGCCGGCTCTGGATTTGCGCTTATCTGGCTGATTAGCTTGCGCCAAGAGAACGGATTGCTCGGGCTCTAGAACGGGTATTGCCGTTTCTCCCTTTTCAATTTGTCGAATATTGGTCAAGTTTATTTCAGAGCTTCAGAGCACTAACGACTCTCTGATAAAGCCAATGCATCTGGGCACTTGAGCCCATTCAGTTCCTCCCACTTCTTGAAGGTTGTCACTGCAAATCTGAATGCGATAAACTTTTGCCAAAACTTAGCAAGACAATTTGAATACATGTTGGAGAGTCGGGTGTGAGTACATATTTAAATGTGAATTTGTTTATTTATATTTATATGCTAAGTGTACATACATATTGTATATTTTGGGCTTTTAAAGAACTCGCCATTCAATATCGGGCACGGCTTTGGTTACTTATTCAGCAGCAACCCGGGCTTGATTCACTCGTGCCCCGCATACCGAATCATTCGAATCTTTTACTTACGTCAAAGGTGTCTTGGCTTCCGGTGCGACGTGAATTGTCGTCTTTAAATATATACATATATATATATATATATATATATGTATATATATGTGTATGGGATTAAGATTTACCTTGTACAATTTGGCTTTAATTGTAATTGTGAAAATGAATACAATTTGAACACATCTCGCCTGTATGCTCATTTTATAGGGTATTAAAATATCGGTCGAATCAGATATTTATTATCTGTGTATTAGACAGATCGGAATAGCATATGATTTAGCTCGATTAGCTCGATTAAAAACGTAGTTGGGTCCATTTAAAGACGAACCTATTTCAATGGGTAGCTTATTTATTTTAATTTTATTGAGATGCATCAGCCTTTACAGGTAGATGCAACAATTTAGTGGGAGGTCTCCTCACGCTAGCCAAGTCTTATTCGTCATGTAACAGACGAGCGACTCTGAGTCAGGCGTGCTTTATTCATTCACAACTATTCGTTCGATCAGGTATTTTTTTCCCATTTTGTCTCTACAGGTAGTCTCTTGATAGACCCTCCTCTCCTTTTGCCGGGGGCCTGTGTTTGCAGTCTGCATGCCAATCGATTCAGGGCTGGTAATTTTTTCCATATGGATTAATTAGTGACCAAATGATTTGTGCATTTGTTCGCTGGGCCTGGGCCTGGGCCTGGTCGCCCGCTCGATCGATCGACTGATATAATACACAGGCATTATGTATTTACCTGCAACTCATTAACGAAACAGTTGGCGTGCCAGCTAGATATCTATAATGCGATTTTATTTTGTTGCCAATTGAAGTGGGAATAAACAAATGAAATTTGACTTGCGATTTTCTTTTTTTTTTTTACGGCTGTCATCACTTTTTGGCCGGCAAACTTTTTGAACGCTTCTCGCAAAAGTGTCATTAAGGCATTTTTTGTTGTTGTTAGTGTTATGTACATGTTCATAACCGACATTGAACCCATTGACCTCTTCTCTAGTACATTCCATTAACACACATTCGCCTGAATACATTTACGCACTTACCAGCGAATACACACACACACACACACACACACACATATATATTGTATATACATATATGCTTGTAGGACGTTCTGTAGGACTGTCACGCTCCATTTTCGTGTTCAGGTGTTATCAGTCGGAATACTGTATACTAGATTCGGTTAGAGTTTTTGTCATGTGTGGATGAAACTGAAAGTTTTATTATTCGTAATCTTAAAATCGGCGACATTAAGAATCTTTACAATGTGAAAAACCCTTTGATGTGATCGTCGCCTCTCGGGCACATAGGGGGCATATATTGTAAGACAAATCTATTTCAAAATACATTTTGCGGCTGAAACTTATTTTAATAAAACGCTATACTATTTTATTCACAAATCAATGAAAACAAAATGTATTCCTTTTAATGGAGCACTCGGTATACGACCAGCATAGGAACTATCATTCGCAAATATACGAAAGATATCTTAAGGAAACTCTCTAGACACGATTTTTATAATACTTCAAGTACATCAACGAAATCCTATCAAAACTTGCCTTGCCCTTGTAATTCTGTCACATAATATAGAATAAGCACAAAATTTATTAAACTGCCCAACTTTTCATAGTATTTCTTTGCCTAGGTTTTATCAGAGAGATCTACAATATCATTGAGCGCATATAAGTAAAATCAATCGAGGTTATGATCCTAAAATATTGACCCAAAAGACTTCCTTAGACTTATTTCGCTCATGAATTGAATTATATTAAAAAAAAAGAGGAATATTAAACGTGCATTTGCATAAATGTATCTGAAACGGTTTTCAATCTTGGGCTTACTTGAAGACAACCTTTTACTCTAGATTATGAGTGACAAATATGAAATCAAGTAAAAGTTATGTTCACAGTTAAAGAGAAACTCAAATATGAAATCGAGTAAAAGTTATGGGAACAGTTAAAGAGAAACTTAAAAGGAGATCCAAAGTTTGAATACTTAAGTTAGTTGGAGCTTCTCGAGATCAAGAATTTTGATAACCCATTATTTTTAATTCTTTTTGCCATCTTTTTTAACGGTTGGGTAAATAATTTGCCACTTTCCGACTGCATAATTCTGCTTTAAATACGGCGTCATTTTCTAGGCAGCAAAACGGTTTCGGGATCATGACTCCCAGCCCAGGTAAATACCCATATTTGCTCGGAATAGTTCTGTTACGCAAAATTGAAGGTGGTTTTATGTGCGATAATGGAGGGTCTCGCTTTGAACTACAGAAATACTAAATTGCCGGCACAATTTAATCGACCGGCACGATACTCGCTTTGCCTCCATCTAATTGCCAGTTAGAGAAACGTTGTTTATTCCCAGGTTCAACGTGCCAGCATTTACCTGGACGGATTAGCACAGGGTACGACTGGGAAAACAGGTAATATACCCAAATAGATGGGCATAATATTTCCATGTCTAGCTGGGAAGACGATTAATTACGTATTAATGAAAAATACGCGAAGAGAGGGTATAATTGTTCGGTTTAGATTTCTCACAAAGCACAGCTTGATGCTAATCAAAAATATAGATATATACATACTTCGTATACCCCATTTACCCAAATTAAATTTGTTCAGGGTATACAAATTCGGAGAGAACATTTTATTTCCCTTATTATTATAATCGTACACCAGA